TGCCGGCGGCGATGCCCGTGGTCGATCCAGGCGCGACCCACCGAGGAGTCGGGATCCGGCACCCCCAAGCTCCACTTTCTCCCCTAGAGCCCCCCGCTTTTCCTCCGGGGACGGAGCAGCCGCATGGTGGGGAGAAGCTGGGCAAATCGAGGGGGTCCAAACCGGGACTACGGGGGCCGTAAATAACCCACGCGCTGGTGGCAGCGGCGTGGGGGGCCTTGGGAGGGCTCGGCCCGAAGCCATGCCCGGGGCAGCGAGGGGATTCCCTGGGGGTCTCCTGCCCCACACAGAGGTGGGACCGGAGCTGGGCACGGGGAGATGAGATGCTCGGGGGATGCGGGACCCTCCTCCGGTGCTGAAAATGGGTCTGAGGAGGCGTTTCATACCACAGTGGGACCTTGCCGGAGCGAGGACCAGGGGCACACCACTGGCAGGAGCATAAATCGGGAACAACCCAAATTTTAAGCACCTCAGTGCTTGGCCGAATTGAATTTCAATGGGGTGACTTACGCTCCGGCTTAAAATCAAGGTCTGACCTGGCTCCTGCTGGAGTTAAGAGCAAAACTATGGTCAGCTCCGGAGAGAGACGGGCTCGAGTCGCACATGCTCAAAGGCCGCAGGGTTGGAAAAGCTGCTGGAGTTGTCGCCGCGCGTTACCGGGGCCCTTCGCCCCGCTCGAGGCGGCCGAGGCTTTGCAAACCTGTTGGGAGCAAAAAAAAACACAAAACAAAACAGGAGGTTAGGAGCGGAGGAGAGCCCGGGAGGCATCCCTGCGCCCGGCCGGCAGAGACACGGTCCTCGGTCTCTGGCTTCTGCCAGGCAGATTTGGAAATCGTGGACCGGAGGACGGCCGGGAAAACGGGAGATTGAATTATTCGGGGAGATCAAGAGCTAAGTATCAGCCACCCCCTCTTATCCACTCCCCTTCCTCCACAAAATAACGGCCAGCAAGGAATAGCTGTGTATTTTTTACATGTATCTCTCCATACCCAGATGTCGGGCGTGCCCAGGCAAACGTCACCCACGGCAGGCAGGATTTGCGCGTGGGCAGGGATGCGTTTCTATCGAGACAAGCCTGCAGTGGGAGCCCAGAGCCTCTCCCAAAGCCTTTTCTGCCGCCCGGGGAAGGAAACAGCACGTTTCCTACGGCTCCACTCGCACGCTGGAGACGGTCGGGCCCGAGACAACTTAGGGAGCGCAATCCCCGGCGGCTGGCTGGCGTTACGCGGCTTAAAATACAAGCCAGGTTATTTATAGTCAAGGCTGGGCTGATAATAAAAATGTTTATTAAGCATCTGGCAGCCCTTAATGCAAGAAACCCCTCATCTATTCCAGCAGGCTTTTCAGTGTAAAGCCCTTTCCCCTCCCTCCGGCGGCTGGCTTTACTGTGGCGAACAGCAGAAGGAATTAAATTAATCCAGCAGCACGCAGGTTGATTACAAAGGAGTTAAATTGCAGGCGCTCCATCGGCCGGGGCACACACACGCAGCCCCGCGCGTCCCTCCACGCTGGTTATCGGGCTGCAAAACATCCTGGTCGCGCTAAATATTTCAGGGACGTGCGTTTGGAAGCGAGGGGTTGGGCCAGATGCTTTGTTCTGTAATGAATTAATAAAAAAGCTCCCTCAGGAAGGGATTTGGGCTGAAATTCGGATTTACTCCGGGCTATCCACCGGTATCGGGCTGCCCTTCCGTAGGTAGACGTATGCCACAGTTTGATATAAATTGTTTTCAAAGCTTTTCCGCCGCGTTATCGTGAGCTCTACCACAGGACCAAGAATAATTTGTCTCCTTGACAGCAAAAGGACACGCCGCCGAGCGAAATAAATAGATGCTCTATTTAAAATGGCAGCAGATTTTCATGGGGTTGAAAATCTATAGCGCTGCACTAATGGGTTCTGCTTGGCTGCAGCCCCCGGTCGGCGGGCAGACAAGGCAGCAAGTTTATTCCAAGAAGGAGAGGAGGGAGACAACAACAGCAGGAAAAATAAAGAGAGCAGAAATACCACCCCCCCCACCCCCCCCCCACACGG